TCTAGCTGCTGTTTTGATTGTAGTCAATAATTTAAGCTTACAGTGATTCTCAGGAAAGGTTTTCCTATGAGATGGAGCTCAGATCATGAAGATTCACTAGAACTGCTCCTGAAGTTTTGGCTCTCCAGCCTGGCAGTGAGGCAATACATCAAGGCAGGGTCCTTCATTCAGGCTCTTTGGTCTGAGCAGGAGCCAGCCATTCCCTCTGCCATCTGAGACTTCCCCCAAGTCAGCATTAACTCATCTGGCACTTTGGGCTGGTCTAGAAGAAAGCACACGTTCTGCTTCCATTCCTTTCATAAGAGACTCTTGTGTTAGCTCTGTGGTATTGAAAATTATAGGGATGAATGATGAAAACTGCACTTTGGGCTGTTTTACATTCTTTCAGTACCATTTAGTGTGATGGTTGTTGACTTCTCCCTGCTGCTATACTTAGAAAGGGGAGTAGGAAGGAGATGAGTGTTAGTATTATGGGTTATGACACAAAAACTTCAAAAAGAAAGTCTGTTCTCATTTCTCTTTGGTATCCTTTGGGGACCTGCAGTGTTTAAAAAAGCTCCTATTCCACCACAGGAACTTAGGAAAATGGATACCAAATTGTGTTTACACTCTAGTACTACATACGGCCATACAAGGTGGGTGGGTAACTAGGACACAGAGCTTTTTCCTCCACTGAGCTTAGTTTCCCACCACTAGATAAACTTCAAGTAGGTTGCCTGGTGGAATTATTGTTCCTTATACGTCAGCGCTTGGATTAAACATAGAAAAATATCAGAAGCTTCCTCTGCATTCATCAAATAAAAATCCATGGGAAAAAAACCCAGAAGAAATCTAAATTAATTAAAGTCACCCCCTACAGAGAACTTGGGCTCTGTTTATTTTCAACAAACTATTACAGGTTTGCAATATTTTTCCAAAAGTTTTTCACAAACATTCCTACTTCCTCTCATTCCAGGCCAGGGCTGAACTGCCAGGATGGAGGAATTCTTCGGACCTGACCTTTAGTCATGAGAGACAGAGGTGCTCAGGCCCAGTAAAACTACAGCATTTTACAGATCTATTATATCTACAGATTTAAAGCTGCAATGTGAATTAAAAAAACTAAAGAGTTGTGCAAACTATGCCACCAAAAGATATATCAAGAGTCCAATGTAGTGAAAGTATGACATCTTCCAAGCATGGGAAAGAAATGGAAAGTTGCTTCAATAGGCAGCATATCTCGACTGCAAAGCCCCTGTTGCACATCTCATCCTTTTCTTCTCACCTGCCACAGACACAGCCCAGAGCCTTCCATGTGCAGCGCAGCACCCCAGCCACTGCCTCCCATCAGCCTCCCAGCACCTCGTGTCCTGCAGGTCCTTCAGCTGCTTTGCTGTAGCCAGAATTCCAGAGCAGAGCCACCAGCAGAAGCTGTGGTTGGGAACATCTCTGATGTGCTGGGAAGCTGTGTGCACCCAGGAGCGTCCCTCAGGATGTGACATCAGCACCTGCTCGCTCTCCTGCCTATAGATTCTCTCTGTGAAGGACAATTTCAGTGCAATGGTAACAACTCAAGAAAACAAAATGCCTTACAACTTTCAGTGGAAAACAGGGGCTGTCAGGACAGTTTCTCTTCCTGCCTTCTTTCCACTCACCCCCAATTAATGTCTGCAGTTTTAAAGGAGCTCTGTCCCCTCCCCCTCATTCCCACTATAAACTAAAACTCAGATACTGCAAGTACACAGAGGGATTTTCAGATTTCCACCCACATAAGCAGCTACTTGGCACATCTGATGCACATGTGAAATTAGTTCATAGGGGTCAGGGCAGGCACCCACATCTCCATTTCTAGCTCTCCTGAGCTTAAATTTTATCATTTATTTGATTTCAAAGCAAAAAATACACAACTTACTTAACTTCACAGAGGAAGAAACCTCAGCAAAGCATCTTTTTTCCCTTGCAGTGTTGGGTTACAGCTCCCCTACTCCCACCCACGCAGCTGAACCCAGTGCCTGGTCAGCCTGAGAGCTGTGAGGAAATCAAATGCACATGTCAGCATCGCCTCTCTTGCTCCAGCCACGAACCATCCCAGAACCAGAAGACATGCCAGGAAGTGGTGTACTAGCTGTGTCTTTTCTCAGATGAACTGTACAGCAAAGCTGTGTTCACTCAGTCTGGTGAAAGTTTTGGAAAGGCAATGCTCTAAAGGTTCCCAGCACGGACTTTTCACACCAAAGTTCAGAGCTCTGGGATACGCAGCCAACAGCTTAAGTGTAACCAAATTAATATTAATGCTCATTAAAAGTGGACAACAAGTATTTCCTTAAAGGAAATTATGCCAGTCTGATTAAGCAAGTGCTAATCAACAAATATAACTGATTGCAAGTCTAAAAAAATTTGCTATATTATTTCCATCTAGAAGAATAATAGTTTCCACAGAGAGCTTTCCTCCTTGGATTCCTCCTCGCTTCTCGCTTACTTAAACAAAATACATGAATACTCAGCATAATACCATCATCTGCCTCACTCCAATAGTTTTTATTTAATGTTTATCTGGATACTTGTTTCCTTACAAAAGTTTCCTGTATTCCATTATGTTGCTGAAGAATAGTATCTATCATTTAAGATTGCACTTCACCGTCCTATCAATACATAGCTTTTAGTAAAAAAAAGGAACAACTAGTCAAAGTTACAAATATGCTACTGTCTTGTTAGGAGATGCAAGAGAACAATTTTTATTTTAATTTATCCTATTTCAGTGAAGTGCAATGCTCAAAGTGAAGAAAAAACTACCTATGCAGCTTGTAAACATGAGCGCTACAATTCACTCATAAAGCTGGCAAGCAGAGGAGCCATGTACTCAACCTCTGAAGTTATTTTGCCATGAATAAAGCTGAGGCAAGAGCCTTCTTTCACATAAGCTTCACCCTAGTTGTATTTGGCTTCTTTTACTAAGAATCTAAGAGGAGGTAACAATTTATAACACAAGGTAAATCAAAGCAAAGTGACATTTTGATAAACACTAGAGCTTATCAATCACAAGGAGACACTGTATCAGATTGCTGAGGAATTCCAGAGCTGCTAGCGTGGCTCCAGCAGAGCAGAGCCAAGGGTCTCTAGGAAAAGCCATGGTTAGCTGAGGGCAGGTGGCGCAGCACCACAGCCTGGCACCGAGACTGCCAGCTGCCCAGCAACATCCACGAGTAGCCAGAGTATTGCTAGAAACACATCCAGGAAGCAGAGAACAAAAGGGAAAGGAAACTGAATACCAACTTGTGCTAGGAAGCCTCAGCATAAGAGACACACATGGGCTGCCAATTTCTTCAGAACAGCATTGCTGGGAGTCGGGTGTATGCATCAGACTGGTTTTCAGACTGATGAAAACTGAACTTATGTTTATAATTGAGATGATAGCTCTGTTAGAATTTTTTCCTAATAGTACAATTTGGCACTGAAAACAGAAAGGCAAAGAGATCATGAGATGATAAATCCTATTAACACGCTTACTGCATGTTCAAAAGTTTCAGGTTTTTGTTAGGGAAAGTGGGAAGATGCAACATTTCAGGTCCACGTACACAGCTGAAGAATTAAACCTCTTCTGCATACAACAGAGTAGATAATGAATGTGCAGGGGACAAAAAGGCGAATGGTGAAATAAAGCTGAAAATTAACCTTTGCTTCTGTTTGTAAACAAATGCAGGAGGAACCAGACAAGCATAATATTTGGTAGTCTGCATAATTACAACAGATGTCTATGTTGGATAAAGTGGCCTGTACAGCAGACACATAGGCATATATACATACATAAAATCAAAACAGCTACTTATCATCCATTTGCTTATGAAGAAGACAGTTTATCTGGTGTTTAATATTTATAGCTATACTTACAGCAATATTCATTGCACCCTTGAAAGAAATTCAGATCTACTACCTTAAGCAAAATGGCCTTCAAAAAACTGGATGTCAGACTATACAAATAAAGTATTAGTTTAGGCATAGTAGACTTTATTTTGGCACTTTAACAAATGCTTTATTTTACAGCAGTGGCACAGCATTTGCCAGAAATTTTCTTTTCTTGGCACAGTTATTTCAAGCAGTTATTTTACTAATTGAAGTTCACTAAATATTGCACAAGATATACCTGTTAAATTCTTACCCTGTTTTTACTTGCTGAACTTGTATGGCTTTGAAAAACTTGCCAGTTAAGTATAAGTAAAAAGCAATATATTAAATATTTTAGCACAGGATAGCATTTGTTGGTTCCTAAATGACCACTGAACTTGGGACAGCAACAAGTACAAGTTGCACAACTCTTATCGGAAGAGCTACCAGATCTTATTTACAATACATTGCCATTTCCGAAAAGCACTTCAGCTTGACATCCTGAACACCTGTATTTTGGGAATCTCAAAAATAAAAAATGAAGAGGTCAACAGAGCAGAAGACGAAGCCATTTGTCTGTTACAAAGCATAATATAAGGAGGCAGACTGTCGCCTTCTCCCTGTGTCCCTCTATCCAGCACCTATCTAGGGTCTAAGCAACAGACACTTCTCTCTTCTACCTGCGATATTTCTTTCTTCTCTTATGAAAATATTCCACTTGTCTCAACTCTTTTGCTGGAGTCTGAGCAGAATAAACCAAAATTCTTCAAAAGGACAGGGAAAACACAAACACAAGCAACAAATAAAAAACAAATACACACAGTAAATGAACTGGGGTACTCCTTTGAATTTTACAGTAGGGAAAACAACATTTGAAGGAAGAACAGGCCTATGTCCACACCGCCATTAAACATAATGCAAAAGTTGAATGTCTCACAGCTAATACACCAGATGCAAGACTTAAAATATTCCCACTTCTCTCTGCCACCTTAGCAATAAATCTGGTGTGAGGATCACCCTGATCAAGAGCCTTTCTTTTTTGGTCTGGATTTTTAAGATCTACTAGATGTACTCTTGACATTAAAACATAAGCAAACAGACATAAAATGAAAAAACATACAAAGTATATCACAATAGAATTCTCAGTATTAGGCCACATGATTTATTCAGTAGTGTTTATGTTCCCAAATTACAATTATGTCTATCATGTAAGACTACAAAAGTTACCATTAGAATTGTCTGTGCTTATAAAATACCAACATTTTCTTTTACTGTTATATACTCATTAACACCAGTCTGCAACGAGTCACATATAATCATAGGCACTTCAAAGGCTTTAAAGACGTTTACAACTTAAATGCATTTTTAAAGAACAAAAATTTAAACCTCTACTTGTACCTTCAAATTGCAAATAATTAACAAATACAGTGGCCATAGAAATCTGCAGCAACTTCTCAAAATACTGTTAGAGTCTTTGGGTTTGCTTAGGTTTGTCAGTAGCTTACTACAAATCTTCCTTACAGGAGATTTGTTTAGTAAGAATATGACTATACAGTTTGTAGTAATAATCCAATTATACACATTAATTTGCTGTTACAAATCTCACTGAAGCTACAGGTACGCTGAGGAACAATGGAAAGTGTAAAATTGATATTCTGACACTTAAATTCATACAAAGTGAAGGTTGAAGTTTACATAGCTGAAAAATTACATTTACACTAGAAGTTACTGTTATCTGAATTATCTGAAGACAAATTGCACCATGACAACTACAAAAAGGCATTTTTTTGGAAACAGATAAATTAATGAAATAAAAACTAACTTGTAAGATCAATCTGAGACATGCTGACCAAAATTAAACAACTTTCATTGAACCATATGATAAAACAATAATTTTCATTATTTTATATTTATGCATAAAGTTTTAAAAATCATTCAGTGAACATCAATGGTTTTATAAAATAATGCTTTGCCACTGTTATTCACAGAACACTGCAAATGTTAAGGTTTAATTTTACATTTTTAAACGAATATGTGAAAAGTTTTAAATACAATGGGGTTTTATCATAAAGGTGCCATAACGGCTCTTTAATGAAAAAAAAACTTCATTATTCTATGCAAAAGCTTTATTTAAAAAAGTTCAGTGATCTCATAAATAGAGACACTAAATAGGAATTTTATGCATAAAACTCCTTAGTTGGTGCCTTTTGATAAGCAGCACAGGATGGTTTACGTTCACCAAGGTCGTAACTGCCTTCATCCTTCTTTCTCATGCGATACACCAGCAGCAGGATAAGGAAGATTGCAAAAAGAAAACCAATAACTCCGCCAGCAATAACAGCTGTAATCAAAGAAAGAGAGATTCACAATATGCCAGTAAAACAAGCTTAGCACCATACTTCTTTTTCATCTCACACAATAAGTTTGCTATTATTTTCAAATTGCAGGAAAGGGCTCCCATTATGCAACTGTCTTCATTATTAGTATCCTAAAATACACTGTCAGAAAGCTTGTTTGCATTCATGAAGGCAATCATTTAAAATCACATTCCACTTACAAGTCAGAGATCCAACAACCCAGTTTTAAAAGAGTTATTAAAGTTTTTTCATAACCTCAACTAAGACCACTAGTACTGCCAGAGCATGAAGCTGTCTTTCAAACTTATTTTTCAACAGTTACATTTTCAACATTAAAAGATTTTGTTACCCTAGGTAAGAAATGGGCTTTTACTTTTCTCTGTAGTTTTTGTTCTGACTCTACACTGAAATAAACTTCCTGTTGATCAATAATAGGAGAGAACACATCACACATTTATGAGTGTCAACTCCCAACCAGACTTCAAGAGGAAACCCACATGTTGCCACTGATGTGGATTTAAGGTAATTTCACTTTTTGATGCTCATAGGAAGATGTGGTCCAAAACTGTGACTTTCAAGGCTCCCAGCTCCCTTTCCAAATACATGGCGGGGGGGAAGTATACCTGTAAACACTGTCCTTAGACCAAAAATAATCTCACAAGTAGTGAAAACATTGGTGGCCAGCTTGTGCGCCTCCCTGGGTTATGCATAGACCCTCTTTATCTTAAGGCATTTCTGTACCCTAATGGATCGTGCCTATCTGTCCCTTTCCATCCACCTACAAGCTCCTCCCAAGCAGCATTCATCTGCACCACATTGACCAGACAGCAATGTGTTCTTGGGAGGTGAGAAATACATTTCTTCATGATAAGCATCGATCACATTCCAGCTCCTTTTCTAAGCTGTAAAAGCTCCAGATACTCAGCTGGCAGTGTTCAACTTGTGGGCATCAAATCAATTAGCAACAGACTTCACTATTAAGTATTTCCCCAAGATGCCAAATTTATTCTCATCAAATCAACCACTGGCTACCCACTATGAATGTGCTTAGTACTAATGTGTTTACCAGTATGAATCTGACAAGAAAACTCAGATGCTGAGCTTGTATTGTTTGATTCGGATCCTCTCTGTTTTCTGTTTTATTTCTGGTGAGATAGACCTTGGCAAACACTGCCTCACCTGCCAGAACTTCTGTTCTCTGGAAGAGGTTTTCTGAATGCTTCTGAGTGAACACGTCGATGTCATCCCCTGGCTCATCACTCTTCTTCTTGGCATCTATCTCAGGCCTTTCCTCTTTATCAATTTCTTCAGGTGACTGTGATACAAAAAAAGAAAATTGAGCACTGCTTACAGAGAGGGCAGACCAGAAGTTGGCATAGTCACTGCCTGCCGTGGGCAGTCATGTAGCTGTGGCTCCACGCACATACCGCACAATACTAACACAACACACAGGAAGCTTTTAGAGCACAGAAAGCTGGTCTAGACATTGTAATTGGATCTGTTTGTTGTCACCATGTCAGAATGAAAAACACTGCCCAGAAGTTTAAAACCTCCTAAAGTACATTTAGCCAACACCCCTTAATATTGCCTGTGTGTATCAGAATAACAGCCTCTGAAAGAAATAACAACTCTAAAATTAACAAATCAGATAATGTTATATGCAGAACACCTCTAAGAGTAACTTAGACAGTATCATCTATGGTGGTAGAAGGAAATACTAAAATACTAAATGGAACCTGCAGAGTGCTCAAACTACAGCCAAACCATACAGCATTCTCCTTTGAGAAGGAAAGTTTCACAAAGTATTTTTGAGTAAAACTCTTTGAGAAATATAAAAAATCTACAGCTCAGACTCAAAGATATCATGATACATTATTTTGCACCTCTCCTTTCATGTGAAATCCAGATGTTGCCATACAAGCTTTCTAGCAGGAATGAAAACAAACAGCTCTGGCGTCATTTAGCAGGCTGTACCAGTAAGTAAAGTTTAGGGGTGCTTTTTAATCCATATAAATAGAAGACTTAACATCAAACCATCAAGAATGTCCAGTGGAATCATTTTAAATGGTCTTGCTCTCCAGCCACGCACCTTTGTTTGTGCAGGCACCTTGGTCTGCATTTTCACTGTGGTGGTCTCAGCCCTGGATGCATCACTAGTTGTCGGTAACTTTGGAACTGTTCTGGATGTTGTTATCACTGCACTATCCTCATCTTCTTCAGCACCTGGAGACAAAATGTAACACTTCATTGACCTGTGAAATCTTTCAGACCAATTACATTTTTTGTTATGACATCACCAAGGTAGAGATGGTTGCACAGCCCACCCTAGGCAAGGGGCCTAGATGACAATGCCTACTAAGATAAAGATGTGTGTGCAAACAGTGCAGCCAAACTGTCAAGGGGATACTTGCCTCAAGGGATCTCATGAAAAAGGAAGGGAGTGCATCAGCTGCTGTAAGTAGGAACCAGGAAATTACCATGACACTTTTCAAACAGAAGAACCCTTCCTGAAAAGAGGTATAAAAACACTTTAATGCTTGCAATAGGGACAGAAAGTCTGGAGTGAAACCAGCAGCCATCAGGCCTGTGTGACATGGGCAGACCCCAGTGCCATGGGTTCTGATGAGGTGCCACGGCATCAGGGGCTCTGCTGGAACTTGGCAGTGCCACCCCCTACCCTGTGGTTACCTTCAGCAGCTACCTCCAGCTTCCCCAGAGCCACCATGGATGGGGCATCCCCAGAACCCACACCCTGGGGTGCAGAGTCTCCTCCTGGGCGTGGCAGGAGGTGTTGGTGAGGCCCCAGGCTCATATGGGGGTAACCCAAGTCTCCAACAGCAAGGGTGTGTGGACAGAGGGTCCTGTACACTCAGATAAGGGGAGCTTACACACCCATGGCCTGTGAGATGCATGGCTGTGTGCACGACACACACTGCATCAGTTACAGAAAGTGATTTAGAAATTTATAGTTGCATGTTACCATTTTATAAATGGTAGTATTGTGGTTGTCTGTTGTACTGTTGATATTAAGCCTAAAAGTATTGTGCAACGATTGCTAGTTAATTACACATCATAAATAAATCAATACACTTCTTTATCCTTACTTAAATCATGTGAACTGAACAGTTTTTGCCTGTCCCATACTGCTTCAAGAGAATTTCTCTTCCACAGCACATCTGTTGAATTCTAAAAACTAAGCAGTTTCTGTCTACAGGAAGATTACTACTACTTTATGTTTCACTCACTAGGAATTCACATGGCTTTAAACTCCATATAATTCAGAAGCCCTTTTCTTTTGAACTGAGTAAGAGGACAAAAAACTCCCTAAAGATTACCTTAAATTTAATTTCCTCCACGTTCAAAGCCCTGCTGAAGTATGAAGGCTCCTTTAGAATAAGGTAATGGACATGTCTAATAAATATCCTTTAGTGATAATGAAAGGAAGAAGACACAGGAAAGAGACTAAATTATTAGCAAGGCCTGAAAGAGGAAAAAAGAATTGACCCATTCTTGGACCACTCCTTAGGAATCTCAATGTGTTCTGCTCGTTACAGGCACCGGTTACCCAAGTAACCCTTGGGTAATAAATCTAGCAAATGTGCATAAGAATAGTTCCTAAGAAATAAAACGCTCCTACAACAGAATAGTATGACTCACTCATTCCAAACTGATTTTTTAATTTGTTTTTTTAAAGAAAGAAGACAAGCTGAAAATATGAGCACAATAATAATGTTTTGAAGTCATGATCAAGAATTACATACATTTGGCATTTAAAAGAGGAGCATTAACAAGACAACAACTAAAACAATCTCTGCATGGTAGAAAAGAAAATTTAGAATCATTAAAAAAGATACTGGCACAGAATAGTACTTGAAAAAAAAACTTTCAGAGATACCAAAATTACAACATGACTTCTAGAATGAAGACCTCACAACAAGAATCAGGTATTTTCCTGAAACGCAACTCAAAGATCAAAAAATCAACATCCTGCTTCAAAACAGAGGTGTGGAAAGGCATCCAGGAGGAAAATTTTTCTGGCTCTGATTCAACAGTTTTCTTTGGGAAATAATGGCTCACTGGATAGCTCAACCTACTTTATCTTCTGAAGTTCCTCCATATTACACAAAGCTTTCACAGGCAAGGAAATTAAAATTGATTATCAGATTAGAGATCTGATAAAACATATGTACACAAATGTATTTTTTTCTTTTTATGAAACGAAAAGTCCTATTTAATCACAACTGTTCCTCCAAATCCTTAGATGCCACCTTTGCTTCAGGCAATAGTTTTGTCTGCCAGACATAATGGAGAGCATTACAGTCTGAACCTCTTTGGCTAAGAAGGATGCAGATCCACATTCTCTCAAAAAACGGGCAACTAATCTAATCCCTGGACTAGTCACTAGATTTGCACCACAGGTACCCAGCTTTTCTTCCACACAGCCTCAGGGGAATTCTGACAATCCCCAAAAAGTTGAAGCAACTACCATTTAGGCCTGATTTGGGTACTGGCTAAGACACATCCCCCATGGTTCCTGCTTTCTAACTAGCTTTTTCTAAACAGGTCTCTGCTTGGCATGGAATAGATCTAAACAAGGAAAAGACACCTCCCTTGCTGAACTGACAGTAGTATTTTCAGAATTACCTGTAAATAGGACTGAGAGACCAAAAAAAAACCACTCACTAGTCCTCTCCAGAACATAGCAACAGCATCTTGTTCCCTAAAAAGCACCAAAAAAGCATCGCCAAAGCCAAATAAGATTGGAAAGAAGAAGCCTACAGTGTCCTGAGTGCGACTTCCAAATAGGTTGTTAAGAGGAATACTGTGAAACAGTTGGAATATAAGAACTTACTTCTTCCTCTGGAAAATATTCCTGTTTCTATAGCTGGTTTCTGGATTTGGTCAGCTTGGGTTATGGTACTGGCTATTCACTGCCACAAGTCCCTCTTACTGAGGGCACCACAAAAACCCTACAGAAATTAAACCCACAGCCATCTCTGTGGTAGAACTGAAAGCTCTCAGCCATCACACACCATCTTTCATCCACGGTAACTTCTTCAGGATGTCCAACTGCTGTCTTCAGAGTGGTCAAAATAGCTCTAAATTAAGCTTAGTATTGGAAATACCTAATATAACCCTCAGTGATGTATCTATTAGCCACCCTTGGATGACAGGAATGTGAATACTTTTTAACACTCTTAGTGCTTGAGGAAACTTGTCAGGAAATCAAGATTGTGCCACCTTAGATTACTGCACAGATAGTAGCATTTTTTGTAGAAAAAAGCCCACAGTAATTAGCACTCTGACTTGCAAAGTAGGCAGTGATTAACACCTCCTATCAAAAAAATCCAATCACTTCACCCTATCTTTTGGCAAATTTCTTGTCTGCTGTTGCACATCACACTTTGGGAATACCACTATCACAAGAAAATTTGTTATAAGGTGGATATACACATAACCACCATCTCTTTCACACCTTTCATCTCTATCACCAATGTGACATACACCAAAATTATATATTTTTAGTTGACTTATCTCACCTCCATTCACTGAACAGTCCCCAAAGCAACCCTTAATCAAAATAGTGTTAGGCCCCCAGAGATGACACTGTAAACATAATTCTATGCCCTGCTAGGGAACTGCAGCTGAAATAAATTGAGACAGTGCAAGGATGTCACATCTCTGACAGCTCTCACACAAAGAAGAAAAAACCAAGAAACCAACAAAGTTTGGAAGATTAAAAGGAATAGTCCTAACTATACTGAAGTATAAAATTCTGTCCAGCACATCAAAAATACACTTTCAAACAGTATCACACTAGATTTCTATGTCAGAAGACCTGGAGCACCTGGCAGTCAGTCTCATGAAGCATGCTTAGGGCTAGTTTAGCAGGGGGACAGAAGTTCTTGCTCCAAGACAATCTGAAAAGCACTTATGAGTGGGACTGTAGCAAATGGGAAATGAATCCGTGCTGTGCTGCCTGCACCATGGCAGGGGAAGCACACCATGAGAGGGGTGCCTGCTGCCACAGAGCACCCAGTGTCAGCCCTGGGCCTTGCTGGCTCCTGGCAGCACCCGGGAGAGCGCCCGCGCCCCGCGGCTTCCCCAGCACCATGACCATGACACAAGGTCCCCCAGCCACCCCCAGCCACATCACCCCTGTCCCTGAGCCCCACACCCTCCTGCCACAGACTTCCAAACTGTCTGTTGGCCTTGGAGTGCAGTGTCAGCTTCCCTCTTGGTCAAGAGCCAAAGCAGATCTACTCTTGTGTTTCTTGAAAAAGCTCCAACCCCAGCACAATTCGTCCCCCAGAACAGTCCCCAGTCACAATGTCAGAATACACACAGTTCATCCTGAGCCAGTGTTCTCAACTCAAGCAGCTATTGACTGAGAAAATTGGGGAAGAGAAGAAGGGAAAGGAAAAGTTTACTTGATTTTCTGATATATATTACCATGAGTAATTTTAGAGAAGACACAAGAACAAGACAGAAAGTTTTTCAAAGAACTTGTAGATAAAGCTGACAGAGATGGTATCATTCCTTCATGTAATGGGTAGTCATGCTGCTTAGCAGCTACTTTCATTTATCTCCAAGACCAAAGCTCTATTAAAATCTTTTATGCCAGATGAAAAAAACAGCAATAGTTATAAAAGCATTTCAAGTTGTATATAGGCTGGAAAACTATTTCTATTTTTTATTATTATGTTCCATAAAACACCAATGCTAAAAAGAGTGATGATACACTGAAGCATATCCTCAGAAATGGAGACTACAAGAAGGAAACAATAAACTAATTAAATCACTATGGATATTCTACTGTTGATATAGGACAATCAGAAGGCAGGCATGGCTTCTCTGGAAATTGCTGACCCATGGATTCAGATTCAACACATGGGCAAATGCACAACAGTAGCTGAATGTACACCAAAAAAAAAAAAAAAAAAGAAAAAGAGGCTATAGAAGGGAAAAAAAAAAAAAAACAGAACACCATCACCTTTGCTACCCCTTACAAAAAGCCCTCAGCCAATTTCTAGTTTGAAATGTGTCATGCCTACAGTGACATTTGTCCATGTTAATGCTGTTTGAAGACCTGCAAGGGCATTAATGGTGGTACTGACAATTCCTGTTTATCTCCATAGGCCTGGTGGCAGCTAACAATTTTCACAGCAAAGAAAGGAGTCAGCAATGTTGTCATCTTAGATCTGTTTGCTTGGACTATGCTTGCTACATAGCAAGAAAACCACTCTTGAGTGGGAAGACTCTTCCTGCTAGAAACATTACATCACATCACTGAGTATCAAGTAGAAGACCTATATGACCAAAATATGAGAAACATTGATCAATGGTACATCTGCAGGACACTTTCTACAGAAAACAGAGAGCAGTAAGTATAGCTGGAGTGGGTGGAAAGGATGCTACTTTGCTTTCCTGAACTAAAGACTTTCTGCTGGGTTCAAAAATATTAGATCTGGGTATACTGTCACATGAGCTCTTTGCAGGGGCATCCAGCTTGTCTACAAGGACTCATTCCCTGTTTTCTTGTAGGAAGGAAACAGAGAAAGCAGAAGTGCACTCTATCTTCCACCCATGGCTCAAGGCTGAGCACAGAAAAAGAAAGACGAAAGACAAGGTGTTACTGTTGGTGAAGTCTAGAGGTAGTTTCTGTCTTTTTGGCTTCACTTTTAATACAGAATCACAAAACTCTTAGGCTTGGAAAGGATCTCTGGAGATCGTCCAGTCCAACCCCTCTCCCAGGGCAGGGTAATCTATAGCAAATTACAAAGGAATGTGTCCATGTGGGATTTGAATGTCTCCAAGGAGGGACACTCTACAACCTCTCTGGGCAGCCTGTGCCAGAGCTCTGCTTCCTTCAGTGTCAAGAAGTTCTTCCTCCTGTTGAGGTGTTCTAGTTTATGGCCATTGCTCCTTGTCCTGTCACTGGGACAGGACAGGAGTCTGGCACCATCCTCTTGGCACCTGCCTTTGAGGTATGAAAAGGGATCTCATCAGCACCTATAGTTGGTGAGATCCCTTCTCAGGCCCAGACGCCCCAGTCTCCTCAGATGCTCCAGACCCTTCATCATCTTTGTGCCCCTCCGCTGACCCTCTCCAGTAGCTCCTTGTCTTCCTTGTACTGAGGAGTCCAGAACTGGACACAGCTCTCCAGATGTGGCTTCACTAGGGCCGAGCAGAGGGGCAGGATCACCTCCCTCGACCTGCTGGCCACACTTTTCCTGATGTACCCAGGATATCATTGACACTCCTGACCACAGGGACACTACTGGTTCATGGCCAGCTTGTCACCCCCCAAAACTCCTTGGTCCTTCTCTGCAGAGCTGGGTCAACCCCCAGTCTGTGCTGATACTTGGAGTTATTCCTCCCCAGGTGCAGGATCCTACACTTCCTTTGTTGAATCCTGGGTTAGTAAGATCTGAAGCCAGTTCTAGTGTAGTCTTTTTGACTTCAAAAGCAGGTCTGAATTTTGAATCTTCCATATTAAAAACAGCCTCACACCACAGAGGGCTGGAAAAAAACTACACTAGAGCATTCTTCATACAACTATTTATTGTCAACCTATTTCCTTTTCTGAAGCTTACAAAGTCACCAGCATCTGAAGACATGACAGAATGGGATGCTGACTGAAAGCCCATTTTTCTGGAGATCAGAATAGCCCTTAGACAGTCCTGGGAACTGAATGAAATAACTGATTCACTAATATATTTCTTTCAAATGAAATATTAAATTTCTCCTCAAACAGGTCTACATCAAGGAGGTCCAATTAAGCCTCTGATCACCCTGGGATGTCAAATTACCCCAACAGAGGACTCCCAAAACACAGGACATCACCCAGGTGTGAATGATGATGGGCCTGGATTTGCCTGGCAACACAATTAGATGTCTGCAGAAAATAAAAAAATCCATCTGAAAAATCTCACGTGTGCCTTACAGGTAACACAGACAAGGCACCAGAAGAAGGGCTCACCCTTAGAAAGTACATAAATTATATATAAGCATCAAGACATAGTTAAAAAAAAAAGTAGAATAACAAACATGTAGGTAACACACTGGGAAAATAAATGGGATTTCCACAACAGCTCAGCAAATACAACAATAATGAAATGTCTTCTCCAGAACTACCGTAAAATCCTACATTTAGCTTTTAACATTTGGAGTCTCCAAGCAAGTCTAGAAGATACTCTTCAAAGAGACTTTCTAAGAGAAATTATTAAGGAGGCTTCACTGACACTTTTTTAAAAAAAATTGAGCTAGCTACGTGTCTCTAATGAGTGTTTAAATCTGAGAACTCAGTATGTTGTATTTAAGAATTTCTTTATTCGTTATATGGATGTAATTTCCTCAGAGGAAACTCAGTTTTTGCAGTATCTAGATTTCTAAATGTAAAAGAACAACAAAAGAGGAATGGACACCATGTTTACGTGAACCTGACTGCATAGAAGAGAAAACAAGAACGTTGCTGCTATGTTTTCTTGCAGAGTGCTAAATTAGTATAATGTCATGGGAGAACTAAGCCTTCTCTAATCCTTATTTCTAAACTCCAGGGAGATCTACACAGAAATCTGAGGGAACGGACAGAGCCAGCAGAGAGAAAATAAAGCAATGAAACAATGCAACTAAGGAATAAGAGAAAAGAGCGGGAAGTTAATTCTTAAAACCCAGCCCACAGGGGTGCCCAGTGCTCTCTAAATAGCAAAGCCCCCACAATATTTACTGGAAGTATCATCTCCAGCTTATAAAGCAAAACTGCACAGATTTCCCTCAAAATAATTACATTACTTCTTAAACTTTTAAAAATCAATTTGTGACATGTTGTCTCACCTGAACCTGACCCAGAAGAATAATCATCATCATCAATTGGATAGACGCCTGATGCTTCTTCAACAGAGCTGTTGTCAAGGTATAAATCTTTATCAGAGGTCAAATCTGCTCTCTGGAAAACAGATAAGAAGGAATAGTTAAAAAGATACCAGTTCTCCAGCACAGCAGTCTCTTCGTCTTCGTTCTATTTTCCAAGTTGATGGTGGCAAACTGAAGTTTGTACTTTCAGTTTATGCCACGCATTCATCTAAGTTGTTAAAGAAACTTGTAAAAAATTACAGCAGTGCAAAAAAAAAAAAAAATCCAAGGCTGCACAATGAAAACCACAACTCATCTCATTAAATGCATGAATGAATAAATAGGATTTGCAAATATACTCTGCAGAGCTTCTCTAACAAGAAGCAAATCCCAGGACTAAAGCCCTCTTTCAGGATCTCAAATATACAAATCTATAGACTGTCATATGAAGTCTGTTCATTTGATCTCAGATGAGAAGGAGCAAAAGCATGTATCAAAAACTATCTCAGAGTTTAATCAAGCCAATCCTCACTAAACGCTCCAGTGTAGTTAGAATGAACAACTACAAATGTCTCCAAGACAGTGCTATTGATTAAGGATTATGACATTTCCAGCCAGATCAAACAGCACCATACACCAATTCCTAAATGAACACATCTCTCCTAAAATTTAACTGCATCTTCAACAGGCTAAAATTCTGGTTTCTTGTGACTATCACCACATTTCGACATCTGCAGGTATTTTCCTGACTAAAGAGAGATTCTTTTAAAATTAGCTCAAAATAGAACAAGGTATCAGTCACCTTTTAAATTGACAATTCAAGCTTAGAAAGACTTAAGAATTGTCTTCCTCCACCTCAGCTTGCCCTTTCTTAATAGAGAATAAACTTTCTTGGGAGAGCCGGCTATCTTGGATGGCTGAGAAGGTACCTGCCACTATTACTCCTATTACTCTAACCAGCACTTCTGTCAATGCCTGTTTGTCATGAATTTTGAAGAAAATATGATAGCTATAAATGGAATTTCAAGTAAAAAAACCCTAAATAACAAAATGCTACACCAAAATTCATCTATTCAGTATCTCATATTCTCAATTCTGCTGCTGTGAGTCCCAGAGTTTTCCAATTTACTTATTACTGCATGGCATTGATTGCCCCCTTTATTCCACCCAACACTCACTGTAATTTTCCTAAAGGAGTACCAAACTGTGAATGGGATAACTCCTGTATGCAAAGACTCCTATCTGACTTTACAAGGTAACTTTTTCCTCAGAGATCTAAAATTATTGTTGAAGACATTTGTGATTTCTTTTTACACATTTTTTTCTGGCAACAGATTCCTGTCTAAAGCTTCTTCACAGCAAAACACTGCTCTTCAGTTTGATCTACAAACTGGATGATGAAAAGCAGAAAGGCCATCCTGAAAAGCTGCTTTTCTCTATGAAAAGCAGAAAGGTCATCCTGATTATTAGTGTATTTCAGAGTAAAAGATCTTTGCATGGAGGGTACCTAACACTTCTTTGAACAGCTCTGAACTAAAGCAGTATTAGCCCTGTAGTTCTCCTCTGCAGAGGAAAAGAAAACCCATGTGATCCTTGGTCAAAGTCTTCTCCTCTTATGGCCACTCTTACGTGGGGGATATATAGGGGGGGAAAAGCTTACAAAGACCTGCTCTGATTCTTCTGCTATAAGTTCACATGGTCTGCCTGGAACTGTCTTCAGTCCAAAGCAGAAATTCAAGATGATGTCTGGTCACTATCAAACAACTTAATTCCTTTAAAAGATGTCTCCAAGGGAAGTCATTAAGTACCTCAGTAAGTGCATAGGTGGTATTGTAATTAAGACACAGCTGAGACTGCTTCCGTATAGGAAAACAACTCCCTGTCACAGGACAAATATCCTGCTCTTGATCCAGCTGCCACAATGGACCAAGCCACTTCATCCTATTTTTCTTTCAGACACAATCATGATACAAAACACACCACTCCTCAATATCAGGCAGGAAAAAACAAAACTCTTTTAAAAGGACATGCAGGGGGTTGGCTGTGAGTATAGAAAAGGCATACAAAATTCAAAAGGTACCAGAGGCAGTGAATGTACCCAGTGCTAAGCTGGGGGAAAAAAATTACAATCTACATGCAGGAATTTCCCAACAACGGAAGTTGCTTTTGCTTAGAGGTGAGAAACAGCCTAAGTTTGCAAAAGGAAGGGAATGAAAATTAGTCTTCATGAGAACAGAAGCATCACATAGCCATGCCCAGAATTTTTAGTGTTCAGTAAAAAAATGAACTTATTAATAAATTTATTCCCTAGGCCGTTTCCAACTTCTGTCTGTATCAGAAGCAAACTGCATCAGGAGGACTCAAAAAACAAACACCCACTTCTCCTTCCCCACTCAAAACAACCACTCTGCTTTCTTGCTCTTTCCAGCCTCACAGAACCCAGAAAAGACAGAAATGACTTTTGACAGTTCTTGTAACAACTCAGTTTCTGTAAGACAGATGAGCAGCTAACCCAATCCAGCCCAAGCTGCAAGTGCCTGGTCAGCCAGGCTCCCCCACCATCACATTCACTCCCTTTCTTTCAATGAATTATGTCTCTTCAGCTGCCAAAAACTTTCATTTCTCACTATGCCGAGATGTTCTCAGGATTTAAACCAGCTGAACACACAGGAACAGAAACGCAAGAGAAGCCTGGGCAGCTCTCAGCAGGAATTTGAGCATCTGTTGTATTTTATTCTGAAGATGCAAAGAATACAATGTGAAACATTATTTAATATCTAGTACTGTGGATGGCACAACTCCATCAGAATGAGCAAACTATTGCCCACAGTCTTATAGAACCAGCACAGTATTTACTATAGGGAGAAATACATGGTAAAGCGAATTGCAAATGCATTCAGATCAGCCATCAAGCTCCACCTGGCTTTGCAGCCTCTCTGACCAGAGCCCCTCGCCCCAGCTCAGCCTGCTTCAGTACATATTATTCTTGTCTGGTGGAACTCAGGCAGGACACAAGCATCCTCTCAAATCAAAGGCAAAGGAAGCATATTCTAGCTTAAAAATCTCCAAGCACCTGCACAGATAAATGCATTCACTGCACTGTCTTTGCAAGCTAGCTAGACTCGGGGTAGAAGCACCCCCTCTACACCCACAGCTTGCACCTTTTATCCCAGTTGCTCAGAAACGCATAGATGCCTTGGACCACTTGGAATTAAAACTGCCTTAAGGCTCAGAATAAAAAGAAAAGCCCAACAGTTAACAAAAAACCCCACAACCATTAAAAAGAATTCTGCAAAGATTAAGCTTAGAAAAATCAGAGAAAAATAATGAAAATAAAAGAATACTTTATGGTGTTTAAGTCAGTACGAAGCACTGAAGCCACGCTTTACAATACTACATTAAGCTATGTTAAAATAAACTTGATTTAGTGTTTGCTCTAGAAATGTTTTCTCACTTGTCAGCTGGGAATCCATGGGGGTCCATGGACTACTTCCAGGATGTTCACAAAAAACAAGTTGGAAAAACAAATCTGTTGTAAGTAGGCTTGGACACAGAAAGGTCTGTACCAGCATTTCAATATATTTAGGAGGAAAAATAAAAAAAAGTTAGCAAATTCTAGTTTCACAAAACTATTTTTAGGTATTATGAAGACCAAATATTTCAATGACTATTTCCTGTCGCTAACAATTGAAATGAGAGCGCTCATGTCACTTTTATGTAACAGCCTTATTTTCAGACCTATTAAAACGGCAGGAACACCAGGCAAGGATGTCTCTGTTATCAACCCTTTAATCTGGCCCTGAAGCCACAAAACTGCTCGTTACCTTTTGACAGAGATTGCATTCTCCTCTATCATTGTTATCCCACTTACATTTTTATTCCAAGAATATAATGCTGCGAAATCCTGTGACCTAAATACTTCACATGCTACATGCCAATGATCACTGACTCCTGCCTGGTTATTGCCTATGTTGGCATAAATCTAAATCTCATGGAAGCAGTGTAGATTAGCACCCATTAAGAACTAGATAAAAGATATTTCCATACCAATCATATGTTGAATTTGAAATCTCACTGTCTTTATTTTACTATATTTTACATTTACAGTAATTCTTAATTTAATAAACTGGGATCATCCAGGACATTAAAAAAAAAAAAAAAAAAAAAAACAAAACACCAAAAAAAAAAAAACCAAACAAATCCCAAACCCCTAATTTTGACACTGAGAGAGGAAACAAAGCAAAAAGCCTCTTTTTCCTGTCTCATCATCTCATAAAAGACAAAAATCACTCATTAAAATTACAATGACAAAAAATTGAAAACAATCAGCGACAATGGAGGCTTGGAATGGAGAGCATATTTCATTTGAAAAAAAGACAAAGTGTCTTGTTATAGCCAATCCCTTTTCCACCGCTGCTATTACTGTCAGTCCTCCCATTCCATGGGGGTGGTTTAGGAGTAAAACATTAAAGACTTTATGCCATGTGGATGAAGCCAGGAAAGCTGGTATGAGCAGCAATGAAGGAGTAATGGCTGTCGTGGCTGTTGAAATTCAGACACTGGAGCAATGAGTAGCTGACACGTGGAAGGCAACACTTCATTATTTACAGATGAACTCAAATTTTTGTTCTCTGGCTTTGGGTATATACATGGGACAGAGAATTTGAGGTTTGCAGCTGTGTTACTAATGATACTTTGCCTCCCTTTTTCCCCAGATGGAATTCTTTTCGATGTAACCGACTTAGTATGCAGAGAACCAGAGACTAATATTTTAAGAGTGATATTGTATTACAAATATCTAAGCCAGAAGTCTCTGAAAACTTGCAAGCATTACAGCTGTTGATTAGGCAGAGTTCTTCCATGTAAGAAGGAGAAAGAAAACAGATTTTCTCTTCTATTAATACACAGTGCAGTTTCATATACACTTGTATAAAAGCATGCTCAGCTGGTGGGTCTGAGTTCACTGAAGTGCTGTACTCTCCACATACACTACATGTTCGGAAAGCTAACAATGTGAATTCATTCATCTAAAGCCTGAGAGTCATTGCAGTGGTTCCCACTGAAGGCTGGAGAAAAGGCAGTTGTGTGAAGAAG